AGAAGGTAGAGGAGGTGACGATTCTGGGGATTTACTACTCCATAGCCAAGGAAGGATGGAAGAGGAACTGGTTCGCTTGGCTTCAAAAGTTTAGGGAAAAAATTGGGATGTGGAGGAAGTGGCAACTGACCGTGTATCAAAAGGCGGTTTACGTACGCACGTACGTACGTACGCACGTACGTGTTGCTGGTAGCGCATAACATAGCGGTGGTCTACCCCCCTACGGGAGCCGTGATGAAGGAACTGGGGAAGGAGCTCTTCAAATTCCTCTGGGGAATGGCCACCTTCCCTCTGGCGAGACCAGGCGGGTTTGGACCTCCCGGCTCTCGGTCTGAGGATGTTCACCACCTTCCTGAGTTACAACTTTGGTAAATACGCTCAATGGGAGGAGGGAGGGGACCAACCTCACATGTGGGTTGTCCTGTTTGCGCAGCACTGGGTGGGTAAACCGTGGGCGGAAACCTGGTGGGGGGAGCACTCCCTCGACTTTACCGTCTCAGCCAAGATGCGGTGCACGGGGCCCGACTATCTGAGGGAACTCTACAGCTTCATTAAGCAGCATAAAGTCCATGCAGAATGGTTTGGTACTAGCCGGGGGGACCTGCGGAGTATCAAACAAGCGGTGTATAGAGAGCTGCTAGAGGTGGCCTATTTCAGACCGCAGGTCGTCAAGAAAGAGAGGAGGGAGAGCCTCTCTCGATACCTGAGGGAACAGACTTACCTGATAGAATATTTTCAAGACAGGAGGGTTCCATTCCGGCTGTGGGACATCAGGTGGAGGTTGTATCATCAGGTGTATGACCTGCAAGGGACCAGACCCTGGCTTCCCGAGAGGGCGCAGACCTGCCCCAGACTGCAGTGTAAGAGCGGGGCTGTCGCGAGCAGGACGGTGGAAAAGGAGACGGTGAGGCACTTTGTCAGCGATTGCCCCACGGCACACGCCACGTGGAAGGCGGTGTCTGAAGCACTGGACCAGCCAGACCTGGGCTCCCAGGACTGGGAATAGGTCGTTGTCTGGCACAGAACCCACTCCTCCATTGAAGGGACCCAGGAGGAGAGTGCCCAGGAAGCGGGGGTGGAGAGAGACAACGGCTCCCAAGTCGTACTGGACTGTGCCGTGGTCCACAATTAGGCTGATTAATCTGTACGTTCTGTTGGCGCTGTCCCTCCAACGCCACAGAGAGATAAAGACACAAAAGGCGGCTGACGTGGCCGGCTCAGTCAAATTTGTCCAAGAGAAGATTTTTTGGTTGAGCCGCGAGGAAAAAGGGAGGATGCCGCCCAGTCGGTGGAGGAAATTGTGGCCGTGGTTGAGTGCGGCTCATGCCCCGATCACGTAATGTCCGTAAATCACTCATACATGTTGCTCAGACACATGGCATGAAACTATCAGGAAAAGCCTATACAGAGTTCTTTTAGTACATTTGATTTGTAAAGCCTGGGAATCTTGTAAATGTGTGTACATTTGGCATTTTGAAACCATGTAAATAACGGATGGGGTACTTTCTATTTTTGTAATGTTGCAATTTTTGGGCCTTTTTGTACCTTTGTAGTATGTTTTTATTTAAATAAAAAATTTCAACCTAACCAAAAAAAAAAAAAAAAATTCAACCTAAATGTGTTTTCTGGGGAAGGCGAGCAAAATCTGTCCAGAATGCCGAATATAGGCCGTAATGCTGACCCGCGGGTCACGAGCCCGAAAGTGGCCGGAATGGGCGGTTGACAGAATGCTTCCAAATTCGCAGAATTTGCTTGGGGAGGGCTCTGTATAACCTGCATGCGTCGGTGCCTCTGCCAGAACCATGGAAGGTGTGTCTGGGGAAGGCGAGCTAAATCTGTCCAAAATGCCAAAAATAGGCACGTGATGCTGAAGCACGGGTCACGAACCCGAAAGTGGCCGAATTCGGCGGTTGGCAGAATGCTTCAAAATTAACAGAGTTTGCTCGGGGAGGGCCCCCGATACCCTGCATCCTTCGGTGCCTCACCCGGAACACTGGAGGGGGTGTCTTTTGAAGGCGAGCAAAATCTGTCCAAATTGCCCAAAATAGGCCCGAGATGCTGACCCGCGGGTCACAAGCCCGAAAGTGGCAGATTTGGGCGGTTGGCAGAATGCTTCCAAATTCACAGAGTTTGCTCGTGGAGGGCCCACATACCCTGCATGCGTCTGTCCCTCTGCCGCAGCCCTAAAAGTGGTTTCTGGGGAAGGTGAGCAAAATCTGTCCATAATGCTGAATAAAGGCCGGCATGCTGACCCGCGGGTCACGAGCCCAAAAGTGGCCAGATTGGGCGGTTGGCAGAATGCTTCCAAATTCACAGAGTTAGCTCGGGGAGGGCTCTGTATAACGTGCATGCGTCGGTGCCTCTCCCAGAGCCCTGGAAGTGGTTTCTGGGGAAGTCGAGATAAACATGTCCAAAATGCCCAAAATAGGCCCGTGATGCTAACCCGCGTGTCACGAGCCCGAAAGTAGCCAATTTGGGCGGGTGGCAGAATTCTTCCAAATTCTCAGAGTTTGCTCGGGGAGGGCCCCCAATACCCTGCATGCGTTGGTGCCTCTTCCGGAGCACTGGAAGGGGTTTCTTTTGAAGGTGAGGGATATCTGTTCAAAATGCCCAAAATAGGCGTGTGATGCTGATCCGCGGGTCACGAGCCCGAAAGTGGCTGAATTGGGCAGTTGGCAGATTGCTTCCAAATTCACAGAGTTTGCTCGGAGAGGGCCCCCGATACCCTACATGCGTCGGTGCCTCTGCCTGAAGCATGGAAGGTGTGTCTGGGGTAGGCGAGCTAAATCTGTCCAAAATGCCCAAAATAGGCCAGTTATGCTGACCGCGGGTCACGAGCCGAAAGTGGCCAGATTGGGCAGTTGGCAGAATGCTTCCAAATTCACAGACTTTGCTCGTGGAGGGCCCCCGATACCTGTCATGCGTCGGTGCCTCTGCCGGAGCGATGAAGGGGTATCCGGGGAAAGCGAGAAAAATCTGTCCAACATGCCGAAAATAGGCCGGGATGGTGATCCACGTGTCACGAGCCTGAAAGTGGCTAAATTCGGCGGTTGGCAGAATGCTTCCAAATTCACAGAGTTTGCTCGGGGAGGACCCCCGATACCCTGCATCCGTCGGTGCCTCTCCCGGTGCCCTGGAAGGGCTGTCTGGTGAAGGCGAGCAAAACATGTCCAAAATGCCCAAAATAGGCCCGTGATGCTGACCTGCGGGACACGAGCCCGAAAGTGGCCGAACTGGGCTGTTTGCAGAATGCTTCCAAATTCGCAGAGTTAGCTTGGGGAGGGCTCTGTATAACGTGCATCCGTCGGTGCCTCTCCCGGTGCCCTGGAAAGGCTGTCTTTTGAAGGTGAGGAATATCAGTCCAAAACACCCAAAATAGGCCCGTGATGCTGACCCGCGGGTCTCGAGCTCGAAAGTGGCCGAATTGGGCGGTTGGCAGAATGCTTCCAAATTCGCAGAGTTAGCTCGTGGAGGGCCCCGGATACCCTGCATGCATCGGTGCCTCTCCCAGAGCCCTGGACGGGGTTTCTTTTGAAGGTGAGGGATATCTGTTAAAAACGCCCAAAATCCAGCAGAAGCGCTTCCATGAGGAAGAGGCCCCTCCCCAAGCCTCTCTCTGAAAGACCCGGCAGCGACTCACCTGGCGACGGACATCTCATAGGCAGATCTGCACTGCTCTGTGGGGAGGGAGTAGGGGAACCTGCTGGTGATGCCAGCTCAGCGCCTCCAGAGGAATCACCGCAACCCGGCAGTCCTGGTTCATCGCCCGCCCAGGCAGAGCTCCTGCCCCCACACAGCAAGGAGTATCCGAATGCCCAAAGCCGGGCTGCTTCATGGAGGCCTGGCCGTCCAGGCAGGGGCTGGACTTTACACCTCCGCAGGATAGATGCCAAATCCCAGGTCCTGCGGTCGATGCCGGGTCTCCCCGCAGCAGCTCTGGTATCCCACTGCTTCCTGCTGGGCAGGGAGGACTCTGCCTCCCCTGGTGTGGACGAATCCCTTCAGTGATTATTTCCACATTGGCAGAGTCCAAACCCAACCGCTGAGGCTTTTCCAGAAACTGCCACTGAGTTCCAGGGCTGTTCCAGTATACAGAGAGCTCCCTTTTCCCACCCCATCCCGAAGTGGAGATTTTCACTGCAATACTCCAGCCCATCGCTTGAAGTTAATGACAAGCAAATGCAGGACTTCTGCTCTCGGGCTGCTCCAGATCTGTAATACTGATGTCCTTGGACCTGCAAAGGAGGGCACGGTTTGCGGACTCCTTGCATGCATGGAACGTTTCACTACAAGCTGTAGGCCGAGAGAAGCTCCCATACAGCTTCTGCTGACTTCTCTGGGACAGCTCATTGAGGTAGCCTGATCACGTTGTTTTCCAGTCCTGCGCAGATGTGCATGCAGCCCCCTCCTCCCAACCTGAACCCTCAAGTGAGACTTTCACTGCAATACTTCCTGGCCAGTGAAATTCATATGTGCTCATACAACTGCAGAACATGCAGGTCTCGGGTTGTCTGTCTGCACCAAATAGCTAGCTAGGTCACTCCCCGATGCCCTCTAAAGCATTCCTCCCCTAGGAGTATAAAGTTAAGCAAATGTCAAACCCCTACCATCCTGCATACGTGCGCGCACACACAAACATACACACATACAGATTTACGATTCAATTTGGTGACGGGATTGGTGCCACTTTAAGCTTAAATTGAAGAAAGTAGGAAAAAGCTCTCGGCCACTCAGGTATGACCTAAATCAGTGGTGACAAACCTATGGCACACGTGCCATAGTGGGCATGCAGAGCCCCTCTGTCAGCAGGCGAGCACTGTCGCCCCAGCATCGGCCCAGCTGCTGAACATCGGGTAACAGCACCCATGCGGGCCATGTGCATGCTTGGAAAGCAGTAGCGGCGCCAGGCGATGACATCACAAGCCGCAACTCATTAGTCACGACTCGTCCGCGCTTTCGCATGACCAGTCATTGCTCTGCCCAAGATATATATATGTGTGTGTGTGTGTATGTATATTTGATTGGCTTGATGTGTGTTGCTTTTTTATAAACAAAAACCTCAGCTTTCAGGTTTTATTGCAGTGTTGGCACTTTGCGATATATAAGTGGGTTTTGTGTTAGTTTGGGCACTCAGTCTCTAAATGTTCACCATCACTGGGTTGGGGGTAGAAAAACGAGGTGTCCTGGCACGATTTTGATGGTTGGGATGTGTTTAGAATGGGCAGAAATGTTGAGCTGTGCAGAAGAATTTACTCAAGGAAGGTTTTTCCAAACACATCCTCTTTCTATGGTAGCTTACCTGTCTGTTAGGTTTAGGGGTGTGCACCGGGGCAGAGTTAGGGATCGAAAAATGAGTTGTCCTGGCAGGATTTTGATGGTTGGAATTTGTTTAGAATGGGCAGAAAGGTTGAGCTGTGCAGAAAAAGCTACTCAAGGAAGGCTTTTTCTAAATCGTCCTATTTTCATTGGAACTTTCGCCCGATATGAGGATTAGGGGTGTGCATGAGGACAGGGTCAGAGTTAGGAAAAAAGGTGTTCTGGTATGATATTGATGATTGGATTGTGTTCAGAATTTGCAGAAATGTTGAGCTGTGCAGAAAAAGCTACTCAAAGAAGGCTTTCCCCAAATCATCCTCTTTTCTAAGGTATTTTACTTATATATTAGGCCTTGGGGTGCGCACCAGTGTAGGATAAGGGTTAGAAAAACAAGGTGTCCTGGTATGAATTTCATGGTTAGAATGTGTTTTGAATGGGCAGACATGAGGAGCTGTGCAGAAAAAGCCACTCAAGGAAAGCTTTTCAAAAGCCAGCCCCTTTTCTATGGCATTTTAGTCCTATATTGGGTTTGGGTTGTGCACCAAGGTAAGGTTAGCGTTGGCAAAACATTGTGTCCGGCTTTGATACTGATGGTAGGAATGTTCTTAGACTGGGCAGAAATGTTGAACCATGCAGAAAATGCTTCTCAAGGAGCGCTTTTTCAAAATCGCCCCCTTTTCCATGGAACATTCGCCCTATAGTAGGATTAGGGGTGTGCATGAGGGCAGGGGCAGGGATAGAAAAACGAGATGTCCTGGTTTGATTTTGATGGTTGGATTGTGCTTAGAATGGGGAGAAATGTTGAGCTGTGCAGAAAAAGCTACTCAAGAAAAAGTCTTTCAAAATTATCCTCTTTCATATGGTATTTTAGCCCTACATTAGGGTTGGGGTGTGCACCAGGGTAGGGTTAGTGTTAGAAAAAAAAGGTGTCCTGGTATGATTTTGATGGTTGGAATGTGCTTACTATGGGCAGAAATCTTAAACTGTGCAAAAACAGCAACTCAAGGAAGGCTTTTTCAAATTGCACCTTTCAATGGTATTTTACCCGTATATTAGGGTTAGGGGTGTGCACCAGAGTAGGGCTACGTCAGTGGTGGCGAACTCATGGCACGGCTGCCGCAGCGGGCACGCAGAGCCCTCTCTCTCGGCATGTGAGCCAGGTCACCCCAGCATCGCGCCAGCAGCCGAGCATTGGATAACAGCGCACACAGGGCCCTTGCGCATGGAAACGAGTGGCGGTGCTAGGTGATGATGTCACAAACCGCGGCTCATTAGCCGCCACTCATTCGAGCTTTTGCATGGCTGGTCCGTGCGCTGTCGAGGATAAAGGAAAAGGTTCCCTTTGACATCAATGTACAGTCATGTCTGACTCTAGGGGGCGGTGCTCATCTCCGTTTCCTAGCTGAGGGAGCCAGCGTTTAGTCCACAGGCAGTGTCCGTGGTCATGTTGGAAGCAAGACTAAACACCAAAGTGCACGGAATGCTGTTACTTTTCCACAGAAGTGGCACCTTTTTATCTGCATGCATTAACATGCTTTCGAACTGCACAGTTGGCAGGAGCTGGTCGGAGGAACGGGAACTCACCTAGTTGTACAGATTTGAACTGGCGACCTTTCGATCAACCAGTGCAGCAGCTCAGCAGGTTAAACCAAATATATATTTGCTTGGATTGGCTGTGAGTTGTTTTTTCTAAACCAAAACCTCTGTTTACAGGTTTCATTGTAGTGTTGGCACTTTGCGATAAATAAGTGGGGTTTGGGTTGTAGTTTGAGCACTCAGTCTCAAAAAGGTTCACCATCACTGACCTAAATCACATTCCTGCTGAATATACAGTTGTGGTGACAAATAGATTTAAGGGATTAGATCTGATAGACAGAATGCCTGAAGAACTATGGACGGAGGTTTACAACATTGTGCAAGAGGTAGCAACCAAAGCTGTCCCAAAGAAAGAAAAGAAATGCAAGGAACAAAATGGCTGCCCGAGGAAAATTTTCAAATAGCTGAAAGGAGGGGCAAAATCTACCCCGAAAAGAGGGTGCCGCGCACGCTCCCAGTCCCCTTAGAGAGGCTCTCCCTCCACGTGGCCCTCCCTTCCAGTGCTCGTGGGCCAGCCCGGCTGCCGCGATTTCCCAGGCCCAACCCTGCCAGGCCACACCACGCCAGGCCAGCCCCGACGAAGGGGCAAAATCTGCCCCAAAAAGACGGTGCCGCGCACGCGCTCAGTCCTCTTAGGAATGCTTTCCCTCCCCGCGGCCCTCAGTTGCAACGCCCGGAGGCCTGCCCTCCCGCCACAATTTCCCGGGCCCAATCCGGCCCGGTCACTCCTCCCCAGCCCCGACGAAGGGGCAATATCTGCCCCGAAAAGAGGGTGCCGCGCACGTGCCCAGTCCTTTTATAAACGCTCTACTCTGCGGGTCCCTCCCTTTCAGCGCTTGGAGGCCCGCGCAGAGGCCGCATTTTCCCGGCCCCACCCTGAAAGAAGGGCAAAAGTTGCCCCGAACACAAGGGGATGCGTGCGCTCCTAGTCCTTCTTGAGATCTTGTCTCTCTGCGCGGGTCTCCGTTTCCGCATGTTTTGAGCGCGTTCCGATGGTCGGAGGCCTGCTGGGAGGCCGAGATTCTGGCCCCACCTGACATAGGTGCAAAAGTTGCCCTGAAAACAGGGCAACGCGCGCCCCTGATCCGCTTTCAGACGCTGTCCCTCCGCGCAGGCCTCCATTTGCGCCCGTTCCGAGCGAGTTCCAACAGTAGGAGGCCTGCCCGGAGGCCGCGGTTTTCCAGCCCCACCCTGACAGAGCGGCAAAAGTTGCACCGAAAAGAAGGCCACACGGTACACCTAGTATTCTTTGAGATGCTGTCCCTCGCGCAGGCCTCCATTTCCGCCCGTTCCGAGCACGTTCCGATGGTCAGAGGCCCGCCCGGAGGCCGCGAACTCCTGGCCCCACCATGACAGTGGGGCTAAAGTTGCCCCGAATACAAGGGGAAGCACGCGCACCTAGTCCTCTTGGAGAAACTGCCCTCCGTGCAGTCCTCCATTTCTGCTTGTTCAGAGCGCGTTCCGACGGTTGGAGGCCCGCCCGGAGGCCGTGATTTCCCTGGCCCAGCCTTACAGAGGGGCAAAATGTGCCCGGAAAAGAGGGTGACGCGGACACACCTAGTCCTCTTTGAGACGCTGTCCCACGCGCAGGCCTCCATTTCCGCCCATTCCGTGCGTGTTCCAACAGTCGGAGACCCGCCCGGAGGCCGCGACTTCCCGGCTCCACCATGACAGAGGGGCAAAAGTTGCCTGGAAAATAGGGTGATGCACACAGCTAGTCCTCTTGGAGATGCTGTCCTTCGCTCAGGCCTCCATTTCCGCCCGTTCCGAGCACGTTCTGACGGTCGGAGGCCTGCCCGGAGGCCGCGAATTCCCAGCCCCACACTGACAGAGGGGTAAAGTTGCCCCGAAAAAAAGGGGAAGCGCGCGCACCTAGTCCTCTTGGAGAAAATGCCCTCCGCGCAGGCCTCCGTTTCCGCTTGTTCTGAGTGCGTTCCGACGGTCGGACGTACGCCCGGAGGCCGTGATTTCCCGGCCCCACTCTGACAGAGGGGAAAAATTTGCCCCGAAAGGAGGGTGACGCGGACACACTTAGTCCTCTGTGAGATGCTGTCCCTCCGCGCAGGCCCCCGTTTCTGCCCATACCAAGAGCGTTCCAACGATCCGAGGCCCACCCGGAGGCCCTGATTTCCAGGCCCCACCCTGACAGAGAGGCAAAAGTTTCCCCGAAAAGAGGGACACAAGGACACAACTAGTCTTCTTTGAGATCATGTTCCTCCGCGCAGTACTCCGTTTCCGCCTGTACCGACCGCGTTTCGACGGTCGGAGGCCCGCCCGGAGGCCGCGAGTTCCCAGCCCCACCCTGACAGAGGTGCAAAAGTTGCTCCAAAAAGAGGACGACGTGGAAAACCTAGTCTTTTTTGAGACGCTGTCCCTCATGCAGGCCTCCGTTTCCGCCGGTTCCGAGAGCGTTCCGACGCTCGGAGGCCCGCCCGGAAGCCGCGATTTCCCGGCGCCACCCTGACAGAGGGGCAAAAGTTGCCCCGCAAGTGGGGAGAGGCACGCGCACCGAGTTTTCTTTGAGAGGCTCTCCCTCCGCGCAGGCCTCCATTTCCGCCTGTTCAGAAGCATTCCGACGGTTGGAGGCCCGTCCAAAGGCCGCGATTTCCCGGCTCCACCCTGACAAAGGGCAAAAGTTGCCCCGAAAACAGGGCGACGCGGACACACCAAATCCTCTTTGAGACGCTGTCCCACTGTGCAGGCCTGCGTTTCCGCGTGTTCCATTCGCGTTCCAACGGTCGGAGTCCCGCCCAGAGGCCGCGATTTCCCGGCCCCACCCTGACAAAGGGGCAAAAGAAGCCCAGAATAGAGGTACACGTGGACACACCTAGTCCTCTTTGAGACGCTGTCCCGCCGTGCAGGCCCGCGTTTCGATGTGTTCAGACCGCGTTCCGACGGTCGGAGGCCTGCCCAAAGGCCGCGATCTCCAGTACCCAACCTGACAGAGGGGCAAAAGTTGCCCCGAAAAGAGGATGACGCGGACAAACCTAGTCCTCTTGGAGACGCTGTCCCTCCGCGCTTGTCTCCGTTTCCACCCATTCCGAGCGCGTTCCGACTGTCGGAGGCCCGCCCGTAGGGCACGATTAGCCGGCCCCACCCTGAAAGATGAGGCAAAAGTAGCCCGGAAAATAAGGCGAAGCGCACGCACCTAGTACTCTTGTAGACGCTCTCCCTGGCACAGGCCTCCGTTTCCTCCCATTCCGAGGGCGTTACGACAGTCGGAGGCCCGCCCAGAAGCAGGGATTTCCCGGCTCCACCCTGACAGAGGGCAATAAACATGCTCTTAGTACTCTTTGAGACGCTGTCTGTCCACGCCAGCCTCCATTTCCGCCCATTCCGAGCGCGTTCCGACGGTCGGATCCCTGCCCGGAGGCCGCGATTTCCCGGCCCCACCCTGACAGAGGTCCAAAAGTTGCCCCAAAAAGAGGGTGACGCGGACACACCTAGTTCCCTTTTAGACGCTGTGCCTCCGCGCAGGAGTCCGTTTCAACCCGTTCCGAGTGTGTTCGGACGGTCAGATGTACGCCCAGAGGCCGCGATTTCCCGGCTCCACCCTGACAGAGGGCAAAAGTTGCCCCGAAAAGAGGGTGACGCGGACACTCATAGTCCCCTTTGAGACGCTGTCCCTCCGAGCAGGCCTCTGTTTCTGCCCATTCCGAGCACGTTCCGATGGTCGGAGGACCGCCAGGAGGCCGCGATTTCCCGCCCCCACCCTGACAGAGGCCCAAAAGTTTCCCCAAAAAGAGGGTGACGCGGACACGCCTAGTCCCCTTTGAGACGCTGTCCCTCCGCGCAGGCTTCCATTTCCGCCCATTCCGAGTGCTTTCCAACGGTCGGAGGCCCGCCCGGAGGCCGCGATTTCCCAGCCCAACCCTGACAGAGGCCCAAATGTTTCCCCAAAAAGAGGGCGACGCGGACAAACCTAGTCCCCTTTGAGACGCTTTCCCTCTGTGCACGGCTCTGTTTCTGCCCGTTCTGAGAACGTTCCGATGGTCGGAGGCTTGCCCGGAGGCCGCGATATCCCGGTCCCACGCTGACAGAGGCCCAAAGTTTCCCCAAAAAGTTGGTGACGTGGACACACCTAGTCCTCTTTGATACGCTGTCCCTCCGCGCAGGCCTCCATTTCCGCCCAGACCAGGCGTGTTCCAACGGTCGGGGTGCCCCCAGGTGGAAGCGATTTCCCGGCCCCAGCTTGACAGAGGGGCAAAAGTTGCCCTGAAAACAGGGCGACGCGGGCGCAACTAGTCCTCTTTCAGACGCTGTCCCTCCGCGCAGGCCTCCGTTTCCACTTGTTCTGAGTGCGTTCCGACGGTCGGACGTCTGCCCGGAGGCCACGATTTCCCAGCCTGACTCCGACAGAGGGGCAAAAGTTGCCCCGAAAAGAGGGTGAGGCGGACACACATAGTCCTCCTTGAGATGCT